ACAACTATGTCTTGTGGTGGGAACGATTACTATTATTTTCGCATACTAATAATGAATACTTGTAGGCATAATTTACTGAAGGCCCTGAATAATTATGGAGGCCATAGAGAGAGAGGGGGTGCGTCACAGAGAAGAGAGAGACGTGTAATTGTGAGGTGATATAGAGAGATGTGTAATTGTGAGGTGTGTATTATATCACCTCATTGTGGCTTTATTTATAGTAGGTCACATAGAGAGAGAAGATAGAGATGTGTAATTGTGAGATGATATAGAGAGATGTGTAATTGTGAGGTGTGTTTTATATCACCTCATTATGCCTTTATTTATTAGGGAAGGTTAAATTATAGTAGTAGGGAAGGTTAAATCCTTAGCCTAATAGGATTACAACTCGAATAGGATAATATCCAACTCTAGGGAATATTCCACGATATCCCTAGATACATTAGGATTTACACAATCACATTCCTAATCAAATAGGGGTAGGGAAGGTTAAATCCTTACCCTAATGGAAGCAAAAATATTGAAAGATGGGTCATATTAGCTTCAGTTGGTGATAGGCCAAGTGATAATTAAATTAGAATGAATTAGCGTAAACCAAAATACCCAAAAAAAAAAAAATATATATATATATATATATATATATATATTTGGGTATGATTTATAACACGGGCATTCCAAAAATTAGCATTGGGTAGAAAAAATAATGCAGCCTAACCTTATTGGGTTAGCTACGATGTGGGGATAGGCCTTGCAGGACGGTTGCAGGTCATTAGACCTTGAGGAGGGCTGGGAACCTCTGGACTGTGTGGTCTGGGTAAGCCCAACAGTGGAAGCTACTAGTTTGGGCCAAAACTAGGCGCAAGAACAGGCCCAGCTGAAGGCTGGCTTACGGGTTGGCACTTGTGAAGCCCAGCCAAAGTTGGGATTGGGTTTTGGGTCGGGGCAGTTCCAGCCTAGTAGTGAAAAACTGCTGGCGAGTTGGGCCAAGGCATAAGCGAAGCCCAACAAGCAATGTGTTTGTTGAAGACAACCTTGGGCACGGGACAAAAGGGCCCAGCAAGCACTAAGATGCTGGTATTAGGTCAGGGACACGTAAGGCAGGTCCAAGAAAGTTGTAGGCCTTCTCGGGTTAGGCTGGGGTTGCAGGCCCGTGAAAACCCTACCAGGCCGAATGCCTGCTGTGCCTTGCGTGAGCAGCGAAGCCCAAAAAACTACTGCCATGTGGTCTAAGGTGTCAAACAATGCCATTCCCATATGTGCTCCACGTGGTTGGGCTGCAGGCCGACTACAGTGGTCGGTGGTTGTGTCAGGGATGGTGCGGCGACTAGCCGCAACCATGCCACATAATTCCCAGATTTTTTCTTCTTCTTTTTTTTTTTTTTTTTTTTTTTTTCTTCAAATGTTTCTAAGGTTTAAAGAACCCTAAATTGCCTCTAATTTATGTATATGCTTTGACTCACAAATTCCACATAGCAAAATAATAATTGCGTAATGCATGAAACGTGTATATATATATATATATATATTGGGGAATGTTTTCATGCTTCGTGGACGTTTCAAATACATTTCAAATATCTTACTTTATTTTAAGCATAACTGATTGATAGAAAATAACAAAAGCCTTTGAATTTGAAAGCCGAAATTGCATCTCTAATGCGTTGTATCACGTTCAACAAAGTCTCTTTAGCGCAGCGTCAAGAGCGTGCTGATAACGTGTTGTAGGCTTAATTTACTGAATAATTATGGAGGCCATAGAGAGAGGAGGTGCGTCACATATATAGAGAGAAGAGAGAGATGTGTAATTGTGAGGTTTGTATTATATCACCCCATTATACCTTTATTTATAGTAGTAGGGGAGGTTAAATCCCTACGCTAATAGGATTACAACTCTAGTAGGATAATATCTAACCCTAGGGAATATTCTAAGATATCCCTAGATGCACTAGGATTTACACAATCACATTTTTAATCTAATAGGACTGCAACACTACTATCTTTTTATGAAATATATGTGGAGCTAAAGAGGTTTAGTAAAAAAAAATGCTATTCTTACCATTTAGTTACCATCTCTCTAATCGAGATGAAATTGCATGCGTTAGCGAGTTCTACCTCTATTAGAGAGATAGTACAAATAGATGGTAACTGTAACATTACTCTTATTCAAACACTTCGGAAATGGTTAACATGAAATCACCACGAGGCCTAGTGGTTGGGAATGAATTTCAGGCCTGTATTTCATATGGCACATCCTGGGTTCAATTCCTGACGCTGGTGAATCACACGATGGTGGTCAGGAGGAGGTTAAAATGCCTCTGTGAGTTTTTCTGGCCCCTAAAAGGGTGGACTTTCATGGAAAAACCACCAAATAAGGTAACTCTATTAGTTTATAAAAAGTGATGAGTACCTTTGAAATATTGGTGTTTTTTTCAACCGATCAAAAGAAAAAGAGTATCACGCTTCAAATGGTTGTATATTAACACTATCCTCTAAAAAGAGATCTACAATTACATTAAGGGTTTCTCGATGCCTCTTGATCTAAGGATAACGAGTGATGAGTTAAACTCTTTATGTCAAGGTAATAAACATTCTTTTTATTTTCCTTTGAAATTTGATATTCCTTTGAAATTAGATATTGACACTTCAAAACAAGTCATTATGCATTTCTATTCTTAGGGTACAAAGTATAGTAAAAAAAGGAAAAGAATACCACATGACTTTTTTTGAATTCCAATTAAAGAGAAATTTTTCAGTACAATTAGAATAGAACACATGACAATACACCACATATCATAATATAAGTAGAGGGATATGCACAATAAAAAGCATCTCTAAATTAAGTCATCAATCATGTGGTCCACTTATTTTATAACATGAGGTGTACTTCCCGTGTTCCGAGTTGTTTGTCATTAATGTGATATATATATTTTTTTGGTCTAAAAGGATAATTTAATTGATTCGATAAAAGGTTACAAGCCAACACAAAGGAAGACAAAATAATCCAAATACATTGGGGGGGAACAGATACATAAAAGCCCTACCTAATTAAATAAACTAAAATGGAAACCCAAATCCCTAATTTCCAATTGTAGAAAGCAGTGTCTGGCGCCGTCACTGCCACAAAAGTCTTACCAACAACTATCGAAGCAGCAACACTAGAGAAAATGACCGAGTGGTGAAAACGAACAAGACATCGCAACACAAAAGTACCAAACCCACAACAAGAATCACACCACATCCAGATTTCTTCACCAAAGACGCAAAGGCAAAAGATAGTCACCAGATCTAAACCTTATTCACGAATCCCTACAAATATATACAAACATAGTAACACATGGGTAGAAGGTGAGGCTAAGGGGTATGTAAAATACCTTTACTTTGGCCGAAGTTGCAGTACACTTGGCCTCGATGGAAATCCAGCAAGCCACTTTTTTTTGGGGGGGGGGGGGGGGGACAGTGAGGGAGGGAAATAAATTTGGCAACCATATTCGGTCCAGAGTCCGCAAATCAGAGCAAAGGATGGGGTGGGGATGGTTTAGGGGAAGGGAGGCAGAGGGAAAAGTGAGGGGAGATGCAATTTTGAGTTTGGAAAAGAACAGCCAGACGAGAAGGAGGGGTGGAAAGGAGGGACATGAAGCCCAAAAGTGAGACAATCTCACGAAAAAATTTGAGACAAAACTCAAGGAAATTGTAAAAAATCTCAGGGGAAAATTGAAAAAAAGAGAAGAGGATCAGGAAAAAGAAGGAAATAGGAGAACAAGAAACTTGGACAAGGATAGCCACCAGCACTCGAGCCAAAGGCTAGGGCCAGCGGCAAAGGAGTTTGCAAGGTTGGAAACCAGAGAGTGTCTCACATCTTGATTAATGCGATTTTTCTTTCTTCCAATTCGAGGATCCCCGTGTCATTGTCCCTTCAAAATCCAAAATCTTTTATTGACTCCAAGGTTTCAAGTCTAGAATCTTGGATCATTAGTCGACGTTGTAAGTTATTACTGTCGTATTTAAGAAACAAAAAACAAATAAGTGGTTGATAAACTCTATTTATTTTATAAAGAAGGCCAATAAAAATCAGCTTTGGTTTCTAATTTATATAACCAGTTCTTGCATAATAATGCACACGAAAAAAATAACCACAATTCCTTTCAAAATAATACATTAAAAAAAATGATAACTACACATTTTTTTGGAATTGTTATTAGCACTCTAAAAATCTCATTCTACATTCCAAACTTTCTATATTAGGAAAGAAAAATACATTTGTGAAGAGTGTAGAATGAGATTTTTGGAATGCTAATAACACTTCCCATTTTTTGTTTTTTTCCCTTTCCCTATATATTTTTTTTCTCTTTCTCTATATACATGTAGCAGTAGAAAAATAGTGTATAGTATCTAAACTGCGGTATTTATTTCAAAACGGACTGTTGGAATATGGTTAGAGATGCGCTAAAAAAAGAGATATATAGATGATAAACTTGGCTTTATCTTCGGTAGTCTATCCTATCAAGTAATCTGACTTCTTAACTAAACACTCATCGTTTCATTTTAATTTTTAAGAGTAAAATGCAGTGAGTTTTGCTCATAGTTTGGGGGCCTCTCCTATTAAGAGCAAGGTGATGCATCTTTAGTCATCAATGCTCTCCAATCTGATGGAGCAGTGGCGTGTAATGGTGCTTTTGGGCACATTTTAAATGCTGCTCGACTGATTCTAAAGTCCGTTCCAGATTGGAAAGTTAGGTTTGGTCGACGCGATACGAATAAGGTTGCCTATCGACTTGCGAGATCGGGTTTAATTTTAGATGATCAAGTCTCATGGTTTGAAAAACCTCTGAATGTAATCTCTGATATTCTTTTTGAGGATAGTCTTACTACTTAATTTAATGAAGACGCTCTTTTTCCTTTCGACCGAGTTGAAATCCCTCACAAAGTTTTTATCAAAATCCATTGTTGGCATCATATCCCCTTTATTTATACGTGTTCTACCTGATTAATGAATACATTCTTATTTTAAAAAAAAAAAAAGTGTAAATTAATCTTTTAGCGTTTCATCTTTATTTTTCAGTCTACTCAGTTATTCGTAGAAGAAAAATTGGATAAACTTGAAAAGGAAGAATCTTTATCTTTCCAGGGTCACATGCTATGCTTTTAAGCTAACTTTATCTCCACAAAACCGCTACCTCAAGTCAAATGCCCTCATGAAAAAAAGTCCTTGAAAAAAACCTTCTCTCTCGTTCCCACACATTTCTTGCCAGATCAAAATATTGATTCCCGCAAAGGACTCCAACCAACAATACTTTCTCACCCACACACCTCTCTCTCTCGAGGCAGATAAACCAAAATAAGGAGTCTCTTTATATCTCCCCCGCTCCTCCTCCAACTTCAATGTCTTCATCAAGCAAAAAGAAGAAGCTTCTTACAACCATTCTCACAGCCAATGTTGCAGGCTGCGGTTGCGGAAGGCCGAAGCTTTCCGACGTGTACGAGCCGACCCCAAAACCCAAAATCCAAACCCACAAAAACCCTATTCACCGATCCCTCTCCTCTTCAAGTTCCGGAGATCAAAATGGCAAGAGCTTCACAGTTGAGGACGACAACGAAGATCGGTGCACCTCTACCACCGTTTCTTTTAACAACAACAGCTCCTCCTCGCAGTCACACCCATCTGATTCGGCGGAGAGTACGAATCCTAAGAACACAAAGATTTCGAGCCCGAATACGATGAAAGTCCACGACAGCATTGCGGTGGTGAAGGAATCAAACGATCCTTATAAGGATTTCAGGCAGTCGATGCTGCAGATGATTGTGGAGCAGCAGATTTACTCGAAGGACGATCTGCAGGAGCTGCTCAGCTGCTTTCTGGAGCTCAACTCTGCATCCCATCATGATGTTATCATCCGAGCATTCACACAAATCTGGAACGACCTCATCAGAGAAAGCGAGAAGCCGATGATCATGTGAATACCAGATGGGTTCCACATGCCGCGGCCATGTGAAGCATTGAATTGATGGGAAAGTGGGGGAGAAGGAAAATTGATGGGAAAGTGGGGGGAGGAGGAAATTCAGAGGCGTGGGGTAGGTTGGGAAAATTCATTACTCATAAATTCAACGGAGAAGTAAAAAAAGTGAGATATTTGGTAGTTATTGGGTTTTTGCCTGGATGGACAGTAGTTTTAAGTAGCAATATGCAGAGGTGTTTATATAATCTTATTTTATTTTATTGGCATTTTATGTGAGTGTACAATTTCCAACATTTACATTCAATACTAACTGTGTAGTTTTAATTAATGATTTTGTAGTTGAGCACTCATTGTCCTCGTTTTCGATGTTGGTTTATTTATTTATTTTTTTACAAATGATATTATTTATATTAAAAGAAATGAAGTATATTATTTACATTAAAATAAAAGAAGTGGGTTTAACTTTACAATAAATTAATAATAATGTGATTTAAATTTGTATTTAACGAGAATTGAAGTTAAGACCTCGTGAAGAGAAATACCGCCTCCTTGCTTTCTATGTTTGGTATTTTATTTTTGGGTAAATGACTATGTTTGGTTGGTGAGGCTATTTCAGTTTAAACTTCAAGCTATAGTCAATTTTGGAGTTAAATTTGACTCTAGCTGTTATATCATTCCTATTATTTTGGAATTTAACTACAATACTTAGATTATTTAATATGCTTACCATAAGTTAGATACAATTTATATAAATATTTAGCCAATCCCTTAAATTTTAGTCCAATACACAAGTTATATATGACTATTTGATAACCAAATTGATAGCCAATCCCTTAAACAAAATGATAATCCAATTCACGAAGAACATAAGATAACCAAATTGATTCTGCACATGCATAAGCAAAAGCCATGTATTCCGATTCATTTAACGAAGAATACGCTTAGCAGCAATATGATGTAATGCACAAGGTTAGCCATAAATTGAGCAACATGATTAACCGCAAAGGCAACGTCAAGGCGTGTCAGTGAGATACTGATAAGAACCAAGCAGTTGACGGAACTCTGTGGCATCGGTAAATGGGAGTCACCTTGATTGGAATACTGGGCACGGCTAGCAATGGCTGTGAGCATGGCTTGCAGCCAACCATATTAGACCGCTTGAAAGTATCAACGACATATTTGGTCTGAGATAAATGAAGGCCAAAGGGAGTATTGTGGCTACCACAATACCAGAAAATAATGGAGCAGCTCAAGATCTTTGACAACAAATTCTTTGGCCAACAACGCAATGAAGTGAGTAAGAGCATCCTGATTATCACTAGTCAAAACTATATCATTAACATAAATCAATACTACCAAGGTACAGTAAACTGATGAAAAGTGAAAAGGGAAGGATTAGCTTGACTCTAAACAATAACTTGATGAATAAAAAATGAACTGAACCGCTGAAACTAGGGACGAGGAGTCTTCTTGAGACCATAAATAGCTTTATGAACTTTGTAGAAGTAGTGTGGCTTTTGAGGATCAACAAAATCGCATGGCTGCACCATATAGACACACAAAAAGCCATTTTCGACATCCAATTGACAAATGGACCAACCATGAGTGATATCCAAGCAAAGAAACATACAGAAGGTAGTGGGTTTGACAATGAAAACCCTTGGCCACCAGGGGCGACCATCCTATGGAACTATTAGCAAGGCATTGATCTTGAAGACCCATTTGCAACCAACAAAATTGTGGTGACGAGCCAATGTCCATGTTTGATTTTTGGCATTGAATTCATCCGTTATGGCATCGCACCACTTAGGAATATGAACAATGTGGGTAAAACAAGTGGGCTACATAAGAACAGTGAAAGCAATAGTAAGTTTATTAGGTAAAGGGTAGGGTACAATTCCATCTGTGCGAATTTCGGCCGAGAAGGCCTTGTTTGAGATTTGGTCGCCATGGCATGATTTTGTACGATATGAGCTAAAGGAATGGGTTGCGAAGTGGGCACAAGTAAGGAGAAGGCCCACTGGCCGTGGACCCAAACTGATGCAGGGGAGGTAGGGGCCTAGATTCTATCAACCATGAATGTTGGGTAGAGAGGACAAAAGCAGAGGGAGGCAGAAGCCTAGGTTCTGTCAGCCCTGAAGGTTGGGTCGAGAGCACATGAGCAGAGTCCACAGTGGGTACTGTGAGCACCGGGGCACAGCCTAAGGCAAAGGTGTGGGCCTGAGGTGCCACGTCGGTGACTGGGTGTTCCAAATGTTGTCATTGTGCAGAGGTGTTGTTTGCTTTGGGTAAAGGGGAAAGGTAAGTTTCCCCCACATTGGTCCATACCAGATAATTGAGCGAATTGGTGAGGTTGTGGACCGACTTGACTTACCTCTAAAGTTGTCGAAGGTGCACAATGTTTTCTAGGTTTCCATGCTTACAAAGATATGTCTCTGACCCTTCGAATGTAATGCAGCCCCAGCCCTTGGAGATCAACCAAGATTTGACTAGAAGGAAAAGGTTCTAAGGAACAAAACTGTCAAACTTGTGAAAGTATTTTGACGAGGCAACTTGGGAGACGGAGCTTTTATTCACGTTTGTTTCTTTAGTTGTACCTCTGTGTAATGTAGAAATTTGGGGATAAAAATTTCTTAAGAGGGTTAGATTATTATGACCCGTCCATAATTTTGTAATGATGGTACAGGGGGTGATCTAAAGGCAAATGTGTTGGTGTATTTCATTAATATATATATATATATATATATGTGTGTGTGTGTGTGTATGATGTTGCGTGAGAGACTGGCTGCGATGCCATGTCTCTTGGAATTGAATATATATGGTGCTGACAGTGGGATAAAGGGAGAAAGGCTGCAGTGATATGCCTTTTGGCTGCAGGCCGTGCTTTTTTCTGATGAATTGGCGTGTCTCTTAGATTGAAGAAGCATGGCTGCAGTTGTCTGATGAACAATAGGATTGCATCCTTTCGGAAAAATGAAAGGATGAAGCAGGTTGTCTTTCAGAAAATGAAAGGATGCAGCAGGTTGTGTTTTTTTTTTATTAAAAGATGCATCCGTTCGGTGGCAATGATGCAGGAAGTCATGACCTTTTAAATGCACACTTTGATCATCTTTAAAGGGTTCTATAGTATCTATAAATAGCCCATGTTGGCTGCATATTTGGATATACAATTCTTCAAACAATATTTTCTTATCCTCTTTCTTTCCATCAAAATCATACAGTTTCCTTTTAGAAGATTTTAATGAAATTTCAATTCTTGCTAAACTAAAATTCCAAACTTGGTTGTATCCTAGAAGTGATTTGCTTTAGACCCGTTAGCAAACACATATTAGAATGAGGGCAAATATCACTTTAAGGAAAACGTATTAACGTGCCTCAAAGTCATTTTTTTCTGTTTAATTCTCAACCTTATTCTTACAATCTTAAAGTGATATTCGAAATGGTGAAGATGTCCGAAACTATGGTTTTGTCTGCAATGAACGACAGTGCTTTTTGGAAACTGGACAAGTTTGATGGAACCAATTTCAACCGCTGGAAGGACAAGATATGCTGGAAGTTGACGGCCCTGAAAATTGCCTATGTTCTTGATCCAAATCTACAGCCAATTCCTGAACCTAATGATTCAGATACTGAACAAATTATTGCCAACAGAAAGAAACGTGAAGACGATGAATTGATGTGCAGAGGACATATCCTGAATATTTTGTCGGATTGGCTCTGCAATTTATTTTCTACAACTCAATCTCCAAGGGACATATGGAATGCTCTTGAAGAGAAGTATACATCAGAGAAAAAATGTATCGATAAATTTATCATGTTTAAGTTCTATGAATTCACTATGACTGATGGAAAATCCATTGTGCACCAAGTTTAAGATTTATTACTTTTGGTCACAAAGCTTCGTGAAGTCAAAATAATTGTTCCTGATGCATTGCAAGTAGGGGCTATCATGTCAAAATTGCCCCTTGGATGGAACAATTATAGAAAGAAGCTTTTTCATATGGTAGAAGATATAAGTCTCCAAGATCTCTTGAAGGAGATCCAAATTGAAGAGGAAACGAGAAAACGAGAAAAATATTTTTCCTCACAAGACTGCACTAAGATTAATTATGTTGAAAGGAGCAATAGTAAGTTCAAAAAGAACTTGAAAGCGAATAACCTAGGAAAGTTAAAAAAGACATCCTTGGACACCAACAGTGGCAAGAAAAATGCAACTTGCCACCATTGTGGAAAGAAAGGCCACTTTATTCGTGATTGCAGGTTCAAGAAAAATAAGGACGCCAAATTAAACAAAGCAAATATGGTAGAGGAAACTCATACTGAAGATATAATTGCTATGGTGTCTGAAATGCAAATTGGCATGATCACTGAATTGAACATGGCTGTAGCTGTTAAATCTTCTGACTGGTGGCTTGATTTTGGTGCTACCATACATGTTTGCAATGATAGAGCACAATTCAAAATCTACAAAACCGAAGAGGATGGTCAAGAAGTACTAATGTGCAATCACAATGGTGCTAAGGTTCTTGGAAAATGGACTATTGAACTACAATTCACTTCTGGAAAAACATTGACTCTGACAAATGTTTTTCATGTCCCAGACATTAAGAAAAATCTTGTATCTGCAAATCTACTGTGTAAAAGTGGTATTAAAGTGGTGTTGGAAACTGACAAATTTATACTATCAAAGAATGGTGTATTTGTTGGCAAGAGTTATTCATTTGATAGAATGTTCAAACTCAGTATCAATAAAGTGAATTCTTCTGTCTATATTGTTGACTCTTCTTCTACTTTATGGCATTCTCGTTTAGCACATTTAAATTATAGATCTTTAAAATATTTGTCTAAACATGGTTTAATTTCTTGTAAAGATGTTGCAATTAAAAATTGTGAAATCTGCACACAAGCTAAAATTACAAAGAAACCTTTTCAAAAAGTAGAAAGAAATACTGAAATATTAGATTTAGTTCATTCTGATATATGTGAGTTTAATGGTGTTTTAACTAGAGGAGGAAAATGCTATTTTATTACTTTCATTGATGACTATTCTAGATTTACTTATGTTTATTTAATGTCTAACAAAGATGAAGCCTTTGAATTTTTCAAACGATATAAGGCTGAAGTTGAAAACCAAAAGGAAAGGAAAATTAAAATCCTTAAGAGTGATAGAGGTGGTGAATATTTTTCAAATGAATTCTCTTTGTTTTGTGAAGAACATGGAATCATTCGTCAGAAAACTGCACCTTACACTCCACAACAAAATAGCTTAGCAGAAAGAAAGAATAAGACACTCATTGATATGATTAATTCAATGATCATAAGTGCAAATGTTCCTACATATTTATGAGAT